CAAACAAACAAACAAACAAACTATATGTCCCCCAGTGGCACAGCTAGAAATCGGGTTTCGATACTCGTGGTGTGCAGAGCACAGATAGCCCATAGAGTGGTTAACTACAAACAAACAACAACCGTTCTATAAATGAACGAAGGTCCTACTTCTTTTGTTGTAATATATTAGAGTAATAATCAGTATTTTCTGTCGTGAAAATGCATGCACACCTTACGATTTAAATGCGCATGCGCACGCGCTTTTCAACCTATGTAAAGAAAAGCGGATGTAAATATATTCCAGTAGACATTTTGTACAACTACATATTAAAAGCTTATCGAAGTTTTTTTAAAAAAAATGTCTAACGTCGGGTCGTAGAATAAAACTATAACTTTATTTATTCATAGTATTAACTACGCTAAAATTTAGCCCTAACCAAACTAAAGCAAAAAACGTACACAAATTATAGTGTTTAGTTATCTCTTTATCAAATATAGGCGTTACTTAATAAAGGCTTAACTAATGTTAAGCCTAAGACGATTTATGTGTCTGCGATTAGAATTCTTTTGTATTATTCTAGAAATTCTGTATTTAACGAAATATTATTATAATAAAGATATTAATTTGACCACAAAATTAGTATAAATATAATTCCCCACGTTCCCTGAATTAAAACTAATGTTTCCCTTTTCTACTACTGTTTTACTACTACAACGTGTTTTTAGGCACTTTTTGTAAATGTATGAATTACAGAATTTCTACCCGTTACTTTTTCAAGATGTTTGATGCATTTGATTCATCCAGTTAAAAACATCCAATTTTCATCCCTACAAAAGTCACTGTTGGATGTCTAATCCTGAACATCATGAGGTATTAATACTTTGAAACACAAATTTGACTCTTCTGCGATAGGCCATGAGCTTCAATTCTAAACATGCAATTTTCATCCCTACAAAAGTCACTGTGGGATATCTATTCCTGAATATGAAAGACTCGACCATGTTTGTAAGCTCGTTTTTGTTACTGGGCGTTTGTGTGCATCATAATTCATGTTGGTCAATAAACATTTGGCTATATCCAGTATTTAAATTTTTTAACGAAAAAAATTGCATCAGAAATTAATGTTTATAGTAAACGTTTACTTACATCATACACCGTGGTTTGGTAGCTGAAATAATTTTCTTCTGGACACTAATATTTAATGCCATTTTACGTACATAAAATAATATAAGGACCTATATTTTTAATGGCATTCATATAAGTAATGATTTTACGTTCTTCGTGAATAGGCAGAAATGTAGAGGATTAATCCGAATCACTTTTCTTTGACCAAGAAACGTTTTTTTTTTCTAAACAATTATCTGCTGTAACAAGTATTGTTGCGTCAGCGAGTCACGTGACCACTGTGGCGCCCTCTAGTTTCTAGAACTATCTTGTTCTTTCGGGAATGCTCT